GGTCTGTGTCTGGGTCTGTGTCTGTGTCCGGGTCCAGGTCTTGGTCTGGGTCTGAGTCTGTGTTTTGGTCTTGGTCTGTGTCCGGCTCCGGGTCTGTGTCTGGGTCTGTGTCTGGGACAGGTACCGGGTCCAGGTCCAGGGCCGGGTATGGGTCTGGGTCCGGGTCTGGGTCTTGGTCTTTGTCTGGGACCGGGTCTGGGTCCGGGTCCGTGTCCAGGTCTGGGTCTGGGTCCGATCCGGGTCTGGGTCTGGGTCCAGGCCCAGGTCCAGCTCCAGGTCTGGTTCCGGGTCTGTGTCCGGGACCGGGTCTGGTTCCGGTCCCGGGTCCGGGTCTGTGTCTGGATCCATGTCCAGGTCCGGGTCCAGCCGGGTCTGAGTCTGGGTCCAGGTCTGGGTCCGTGTCCGGGACCGGGTCCTGGTCAAGGTCCGGGTCCGGGTCCAGGTCAAGGTCTGGCTTTGGCTCCGGGTCTGGGTCCAGGCCCAGGTCTGGGTCCCAGGTCCAGGTCCAGGTCCGGGTCAGGGTCCGGCTCTGGGTCTGGGTCTGGGTCTGGGTCCGGGTCTGGGTCCGGGTCCAGGTCCGGGTCTAGGTCCAGGTCCAGCTCTGGGTCCAGGTCCTGGTCCAGGTCTGGGTCTGGTTCAGTGTCTGGGTCTGGTTCAGTGTCCGGGTCCAGGTCTGGGTCCGGTTCTGGGTCTGGGTCCAGGTCTGGGTCCTGGTCCGTGTCCGGGTCTGGGTCTGGGTCCAGGTCTGGGTCTGTGTCTGGGTCCGGGTCTGGGTCTGGGTCCGGGTCCTGGTCTGGGTCTGGGTCTGGGTCCAGGCCCAGGTCCAGCTCCAGGTCTGGTTCCGGGTCTGTGTCCGGGACCGGGTCTGGTTCCGGTCCCGGGTCCGGGTCTGTGTCTGGATCCATGTCCAGGTCCGGGTCCAGCCGGGTCTGAGTCTGGGTCCAGGTCTGGGTCCGTGTCCGGGACCGGGTCCTGGTCAAGGTCCGGGTCCGGGTCCAGGTCAAGGTCTGGCTTTGGCTCTGGGTCTGGGTCCAGGCCCAGGTCTGGGTCCAGGCCCAGGTCTGGGTCCGGATCCGGGTCGGCGTCCGGCTCCAGGTCCGGGTCTGTGTCTGTGTCTGGGTCCGGGTCCGTGTCAGGGTCCAGGTCTTGGTCCAGGCCCAGGCCCAGGTCCAGGTCCAGGTCCAGGTCCTGGTCCTGGTCCAGACCCTGGTCCGGGTCCTGGTCCAGGTCTGGTTGTCATGGCGCCGCTGCTCCCCAGGTGAAGTACGAGCAGAAGGGCAGGGCTCTGAGGATGGTTCTGGAGGACTCCACCCTGGAGGAGGCCACCTGGGCCCTCAGCCAGGTCACCGGCTTCTGCCACCTCTCCCTCCGGCCCCGCCAAGATGGTACGTCCCAGACCAGGGGGGATATCCAACTCCACCCACATCCAAGTCGGCCATTTTGATTAGGTCACCAATAGGAAGATCCCAAGCCAGAAAATGGTAATTGCTTCATGGTAATATAGACATTAGTTTAAAAATAGTGAAATGAATCTTGCAAACACTGAATTAAACTCTATCCATAATATTATGTATAGATTTAGGGTTTAGATTAGATTTAGATTTAGATTAGATTTAATTTAGGGTAAGGATTAGGTTTAGTTTAGGTTTAGGGTTAGGGTTAGAACATCGTTTGTCTTCCGATTTCGGTATTTACAATAAAGTTTAATTTACACCTGAGAAAGCTGTTAGTCATGTCTATACGAAATCGGAAGACAAACTTTAGTCCTATATCTGACCCTAACCCTAACCCTCCACCCTTCATAATTGTGAGAAATAAATATTTTTGGGTTAAACTTGTTTGGACTTATTGTACAAACCTATTTAACATCCACTATTTTAACATAATATTATGTACAGAGTTTAATTCAGTGTTTGCAAGATTCATTTCACTATTTTTAAATTAATGTCTATATTGCCATGAAGCAATTAGGATTTTCTTGCCTGGGATCTTCCTATTGGTGACCTGATCAAAATGGCCGACTTGGATGTGGGTGGAGTTGGATATCCATCCTTGGCTTCCTGCAGTCTGCAGCCAGACGGACTTGAATAATTAATGTTGCCGTGTTGTTATTAGCCATTAGCCGTTAATAGCTGCAGCTAGCAATTCGAGGCTAACGTCACGTTAATGATCATAAACAACGTAAATATAAATAAATATCCTCCCTCCAGACTACCAGGCCCTGCTGCAGCAGCTGTCCAGCAGCCCCGGCTCCTCCGGGGACTCCTTCTACGTGCGGGTCAACCTGTCCCTGGCGGCCGGCGGCGGGGGGGCGCTGGCCGTAACCTGCAACGACGTCCTGCACATCACCAACACGCGGCCCAACGGCGCCGAGGCCGAGTGGCACGCCAGCCAGGTGCACCCCCACCAGCTGCTGGACCTGCAGGGGGGCAGCGTGCCCAACTACTACAGGTGGGGGCGGCAGAGGGGGTTTAAGCGTTTTATTAGATAATATCATGGTCTTTTGAAGTATTTTATTGGTTAAAATTATTTTCTTAAGTATTTTATTAGCTAAAATCATGTTCTTTTGAAGTATTTTATTGGTTAAAATCATTTTCTGAAGTATTTTCTTAGCTAAAATCATGTTCTTTTTAAATATTTAATTAGCTAAAATCGTTGTCATTTTTAGTATGTTATTAGCTAAAATCATGTTCTTTTTAAGTATTTTATTAGCTAAAATCGTTGTCTTTAGGTTCTTTTTAAGTATTTTATTATCTGAAATCATGTTTATTTTAAGTATTTTATAAGCTAAAATCATGTTCTTTTTAAGTATTTTATTAGCTAAATAGGTTTCAAAATCACCTCTTTAAAGGAGGTTATAATGTTATGGCTGATTAAAGGGACATTGTGTAGTTTTTTAAGTATTTTACTAGCTAAAATCATGTTCTTTTTCAGTATTTTATTACCTAAATATGATTCAAAATCATCTCTTTAAAGGAGTACATAATGTTATGGCTGATTAAAGGGACATATTGTTGTATTTTAAGTATTTTATTAGCTAAAATCGTTGTCTCTTTAAGTATGTTAGTACCTAAATCATGTTCTTTTTCAGTATTTTATCAGTTAAAGTCGTTGTCTTTTTGAGTATTTAATTAGCTAAAATAATTTTTTTTAAACTATTTTATTAGCTAAAATCGTTGTCTTTTCAAGTATTTTATTAGCAAAAATCATGTTCATTTTAAGTATTTTATTAGCTAAAATCATGTTCTTCTTAAGTATTTTATTAGCTAAAGTTGGTTCAAAATCACATCTTTAATGGCGGATTAAAGGGACATTGTGTAGTTTTTGAAGTATTTTACTGGCTAAAATAATTTTCTTTTTAAGTATTTTATTAGCTAAATTTGGTTCAAAATGTTGTGCTTTGACCCCCCAGGGCGCAGCGGCTCCTGATTCGAGCCATTGAAGAAATGAGCTTTCAAACAAAGAAGTGTCAAAAGGTAAACCAAAAATCCTATCCAAAACCAATCTGACTCAGCGAGTTTGAGTGTGAGGAGTGATTTCTGGGGTCTTTCCTCCCTGAAGGCCGGGCGGGAGGTGCCCCCCCCCCCCGAGGGAAGGCCGTGAGGATCGTCAGCACCGGGCAGCAGGGCAGGAACCCGCTGTGGGTCAGTGTGGAGGAGGAGCAGGCCTCGCCCGGAGAGCCAGGTCAGTCCCAGAGCTGCAGAGGGTAGGAGGCCAGGGAGGGATGTCGGCCATTTTGATTAGGTCACCAATAGGAAGATCCCAGGCAAGAAAGTCGGAATTGCTTCATGGCAATATAGGCATTGATTCAAAAATAGTGAAATGAATCTGGCAAACACTGAATTAAACTCTATCCATAATATTATGTTAAAATAGTGGATGTTAAATAGGTTTGTACAATAAGTCCAAACAAGTTTAACCAAAAATATTTAGTTCTCACAATTATGAAGGGGTTAGGGTGGAGGGTTAGGGTTAGAGTTAGGTTTATGGTTAGGGTTAGGTAGAGGTGGAAGTTTAGGGTTAGGTTTAGGGTTAGTTAGGGTTAGGGTTAAGTTAGGGTGGAGGGTTAAGTTTAGGGTTAGGTTGGGTTAGAGTTAGGGTCAGGGTGGAGGGTTAGGGCCAGGGTTAGGGTTAGGTTCAGGTTTAGGGTTAGGGTCAGGGTTAGGTTTAGGACATTGTTTATCTTCTGATTTCGTATAGACAGTAAAGTTTCGTTTCCACCTCAGAAAGCTGCTAGTCACATGACTTAATCAAAATGTCCGACTTGGACATGGTAGTAGCTGGACATCCAGCCGAGGCTCCTACAGGCTGCTCGGTCTGTCCGGGCTGTTACCAACCCCTAACCCCCCCCTTTTATCTCTATCTCCTGCAGACCGGTGCCCCTCTAAGTGCTGCGTGAGCCTGATGCCCTACACGCTGGTGACCCCCCACCACCCGCCCATCTGCCGGCCCGTGCTGCTGCTGCCCTCCGTGCTAGGACGCATCCTGGACAACAAGATGGCCGACTGGCAGGGCTTCCAGCTGTGCGAACCCGGTGAGACACTAACAACACACACAAAAAAACCCCGAGCCTCAGGAGGCCGGACCCAGGTGCCAAGCTGGGCCTCAGGTAGACTTTAAAAAGCTCACAGTGGTTTGGAGATGTGAAAAGAAATGTGGTCCGTCTGCAGACTGCAGGAAGCCAAGGATGGATATCCGACTCCACCCACATCCAAGTCCAAGGCCATTTTGATTAGGTCACCAATAGGAAGATCCCAGACAAGAAAATCCTAATTGCTTCATGGCAATATAGACATTAATTTAAAAATAGTGAAATGAATATTGCAAACACTGAATTAAACTCGATCCATAATGGATAGTGGATGTTAAATAGGTTTGTACAATACGTCCAAACAAGTTTAACCAAAAAATATTTATTTCTCACAAATATGAAGGGTGGAGGGTTAGGGTTCGGGTCAGGGTTAGGTTTAGGGTGGCAGGTTAGGGTTAGGGTTAGGTTTAAGTTTAGGGTGGAGGATCAGGGTCAGGTTTAGGGTTAGGGTCAGGGTTAGAGTTAGGGTTAGGGTTAGGGTTAGAGTTAGGTTTAGGGTCATTGTTAGGGTCAGGTTTAGGATTAAGCTCAGGGTCAGGTTAGGGTCTGGGTTAGGTTTAGGACATTGTTTATCTTCTGATTTCCTACAGACAGTAAAGTTTGGTTTCCAACTCAGAAAGCTGCTAGTCACATGACCTAACCAAAATGGCCGACATGGATGTGGGAGGAGTCGGACATCCAGCTGAGGCTCCTACAGACTCGTTTTTCCTGCCGGCCCGTGAGCGTCCGTGTTTTTTTTTTCGCTTTTATGGTTGTGTCTGTTGCTGTGAACCAGGAAGGAAACAAACCCGGAGCGCAAACAGCCGTAAAAGCCTCAGAGGCTGTAAAGCGTGTGCCTGTGTTCCAAGAAACCAGCCGGTCACACCAACGTTCATTGACGTTTGTGGGGAAGTTTGATCACTACAACAACAAACGAGGAGAACATTTAGGGAAAACACGGCGTGGGCAGGAGCGTGTGGTCATGAGTTCAGCTGGTCTGTGTTTGTTATGATGTGTCTGACCACAGCTGGACAGATGAGACTCAGATCTGTTGGTTTATTGGGTCTCAGATCTGTTGGTTTATTGGGTCTCTGTGTGGAACGGATCAGTTTAAGAAACCAGAACAACTTCCTCCAGTTAAATTAAGACAAATCTGAAGTCATTAGACCCTTTCAGACTGTCTGGAGCCTAAAAACCGGGTCAGAAATCTGGACTCAGACCAGAGCTTTAACAGCCACTTTAAATCATAACGGCAGCATTTACCATCTAAAAAGATCCAGAATCAGAGGAACAGAGTCTGAACCAGATCCAGAAAGATCCAGATCCAGGAAACAGGACCACATCGGTCCAGTTCAGAACCATGAAACACATCAGTCCAGTTCAGAACCAGGAAACAGGACCACATAAGGACCACATCGGTCCAGTTCAGAACCAGGAAACAGGCCTACATCAGTTCAGTTCAGAACCAGGAAACAGGACTACATCGGTCCAGTTCAGAACCAGGA